CAAGGTGAGAGAAGATTGAGTTGGCCCTTGGAAGGGGCCCATGCAGTCTAGGAAGAAGAGGGGGCGGGAATCATACTACTCAATCAATTGAGTATATATAGCATATTTGAAGTGCTCCACTCCTTCACATGCCTTAGGTCAGTGATGGTCAAACTTGGCCCTCCAGCTGTTTTGGGACTACAACTCCCATCATCCCTAGCTAACAGGACCAGTGGTCAGGGATGATGGGAATTGTAGTTGGAGGGCCAAGTTTGGCCATCACTGCCTTAGGTGGTGGCATAGCTGTCTCAGAACCCTTCCTTTCTGCTCTTGGTCTATTTCACCACCACCTTCAGAGGACTAAGATTTACAGTTCTAGAGATATCTAGGCATGTGTGTCTGTGGGTATTTTTCCAAAGAGAGGGGAATGAAACACTGAAGTGAGGGGAACAGGCTCGATTTTCACACAAAAAGGGAGGGGGGATGTGTATTTTGCTGCACATCTCAGATTCTAAAAATGCTAGCAACTTCCTGGTTGTTGTTGTTGTTTTATGTGTTGTTGTTGATGTGTGGTTTTTTTGTTTTTATTTGCTTATCCTGGTGGGCAAATCCCCCTGCCTTGATCCCCCCTGAAGATGCCCATGCACCCTAAATGAACCACATGGGCTGCCGTGCTAGGTGAACTGTGGATTCCCTGCCTTTGCACTGAGTACTAGTAGCCCCAGCCTGCTCACCCTTTCCACTCAGGGCTAGTTAATCCATATAAATAGCTTGGACTGAACTTCAGCCAGCACATGTGCATTCTGAAACCCAATAAATGATAGGGTGGGCCGAGACAGGTGCTGCTATACCTGCTATATCTTTGGTGGCTTATACAGCTATAAGCCCAGGCGCCTTAATGCTAAGATCAGAGGCATTCCCTAGTCTTGTCATCTATGACCAGCTTAACATACCCTGCTAAGGCCCAATAAATATGAAGGATGTGAATATAAGCTTCCTCTCCATTTCCCCAGGTTTTCCCCCAACTTCAATACTGACCATCATTTCAACCAAAAGGCTGAAGTAGCATTATTTATTAAAAAAATAGTATATAGCTATAAAATATAAAACTTGCAACCCAGCCAGCTAAATGAACTGAGCAATACAGTGGTACCTTGGTTAAGTCTGTACTTAACTTGAAACTGTTCTTAACCTGAAGCACCACTTTAGCTAATGGGGCCTTCTGCTGCTGCCGCGCCACCGGAGCACAATTTCTGTGCTCATCCTGAAGCAAAGTTCTTAACCTGAAGCACCATTTCTGGGTTAGCGGAGTCTGTAACCTGAAGCGTTTGTAACCTGAAGCGTATGTAACCTGAGGTACCACTGTACATAGACTCTCTCTCAGAGTACTCCTTCCTTTATTCAGGTTCGCTGTACTAAAATGATGGGCAGTGTGTGTGGGGGGGGACGGACGGACATCCTTTCAGACATAAACCAGAGCAAGCACACAGATTCAGACACCATTGCGTGCCATTAGGAGGAGAGTAGTTAGCTGTTTCCGTTCAGTGCTGGTTGAAACCGGACAACTGTTCTGACTGGGCCACTTTCCACTGGATATTGCTAATTGGACTCTTCCCTTGCCCTTGGGGTATTTTTATCCTGCTTGGCCACATAAATCCGCCCCCCAAAGCACACACACAAAAACTGTTTGATCTGCATAGCCCTTGCTTTGTTTACTTGTATAAAGACGTGGGGTCGTTCTGTTCCCTTTTGAAGCCTTCCCCTCATGACTTTCTGCGGTATGGTGACCCGTGCTTCTGAGCACCGCAATTTCCTAGCGACTCCGTTCAGCAAATCAAATCAGCAGAGGAAATTGCTTTCTTTGCTTGGGATACAGGCTACTTGCTTCTTCCCTCTCATTGTGCCTCAGTGGCAACGTCTAATTGATTTGACTCACTCGAAGCCCTTTTCAGAGTGGTAGCATGCTTAGCAATTTTTCCATCAGCAGCAGTTTGCATCGGGCCTGTAGGGTAATAATAGTGATCTCTCCACCCCACGGGCCTCATTAGGCCCGACAGGCCTTGAAGGAGGTTGGCTTCGTAGGCTGTTTTGGGCAAACCATGCCTCATCCTAGCTGAGACTGTCATCATATGATGTCAGGTATTGGAAAGTTCAAGAAAGAGCTGACCTATGCAGCCTTGGCTTGAATTTAAGCTGCTCAAAGTTGGCGCTTTTGGAATTTGGCTCCCTTTGCTGCCCAAGATCCTTTGCATCGTGGCTTGAATTCAAGTCAAGAATACAATATTCCTTTGTGGCCATGGCTCAAAATTTGAATCACCTGATGTCATATGATGTCAGGTAGCAGACATTCCTGTCCACCTGTGGCCTGTGCACACATTTCGCCTTCCATTTGCCCTTCTTTTCTGTCTTCCTCTCTTGCTCTACCACCCCATTATATCTTCTCCTCTATTTATCCCTGCCTAGCGGGCTGCCCCGGGAGGGACGGGATACTCTTGCTGGCAGGGGTACTCAACTGATCATCCACAGAGGGCTTTTTTCAAAACCAACCAACCATTTTCAGCCTCTTTTTTACCCATTCTAACTTCTCTCCCCCATTCCTCTCATCATCTCCCAGGAATAAGTTTATTTAGATGGAACTATATATAGGTTTTCCTCCTGATTATATGTGCTTGGCTGCTACTGCTTTGTTCTTAGGCATGACGTGAGTTGATAGCCTCATGGCCAGTTTTCTTAGCATATCATTACTGCTGTTTCAAGTTGAAGTGGATGACTTGTTTGTCTTGCTCTGTAGTTTTCATTTTTAAATGTAATTCTGGGTGAGCTCTCTGACTCAGCCTGATCCACAGCGCCTGCAGCTATTATAACCAAGCACTCCTACGCAGAGCTTTGCTGATGTTTCTGTCCATCAGCATCCTGCAAAAGCTGTTCCAGTTCTGGGGCCCACACAGGTTTTCTAATTCATTTTATTAATCACTTTCCTGGAACTGCCTCCTGTGCAAGTCCCATTGAGATAAGCAGGGTGCTTCACACAAGAACATTAATGGTCCTTATCAGCACAGCCCCTTGGGATTCAGTCTCTGGTCACTGAACGGACAGGAGTTAGCAAGCTTGGAGGTTTTGCCATTTTATTAGCTATAGATCTGTGCAGCTAGGCAGAAGCAAATGGATCAGAGCTATCATGTGGTTTAAGGAGAGGCAGCATGGAAGGATCCAAACGCGTGCTTAGGCTGCATCTCTTCTACTGCTTAAGATTTCAACAGTGCAATCAAAACAGGGAAAGTGGCCCTCCAAGCCCCTCTGTCTGGACCTCGGGATTCTCCCCAGTCCGCATCCCTCACAGGCAGGGCATTTTTTGTACCAGTACTCCCTGGTATGAAGTACCAGCATCCTTTTTTTGCTGAACACAACAGCCATTTTGTACCTCCTACCCGCACGCTGCATGTCTATCAAGATAGCATACTCTCCAACATTTCTCCAATGAAAATAGGGACATCCCATTCCATAATGACAATTTTACTGTTTATATCCCACACATCTTACTGGGTTGCCCCAGCCACTCTGGGCAACTTCCAATGTATGAAAAAGCATAGTAAAACATTAAACATTTTTTTAAAAAATCCCTATACAGGATTGCCTTCAGACAGCTTGGGGTTGGACAACTCCACACTCTCCAACATTTCTCCAGTGAAAATAGGGACATTCTAAGGAAAAGTGGGACATTCTGGGATGAAATCAGAAACTGGGATGGCTTCTTTAAAATAGGGACGATCCTGGAAAATAGGGACACTTGGAGGATCTGAGATAGGAGTATTGGTTTACGAAAAAGGCACTGCTCACATGCTCTACTCTGCAGGTGCCTTAAGTGTTTTTGCCCGGCTGGGATGTTATCAAACTCACCTCTTGTTTGCTGGGATGCTTGCACTGGCATGCAGCCCCCAGAACATTGCCCAGATGAGAATGCCACCCTTGGTCTAAGAAAGGTTTAATAATCATGATCATAAGAGTAATACAAACTGTTCTCTAGCATGGATTGCAGTGATCTTGAGCGACCTTGGGGGTGGGGCAAACGAAGTTCTTGGAATAGGTGAGGACTTGTCCGAGACGGGATGTCAGCAGATTTAGAAACCAAAGTGCCTGTAGGATGTTTGGGAAATCCTCACTTAGGTTGTTTTAATGGGTGCTTGCTTGCTTCTGATCCAGTAAACAGTAAGTGGAGAGGTGTAAATCAGGCACTGTGCAATTAACACTATTTTTATAACCGTGCTATCAAAATCTTTCATTTGGCTTTAGGCATCATTTTCTTCTGGTTGCACAGCCAAGAGTTGCAGAATTCTGAAGAAACAAAGCTAAGACAGCACGGCGGGGGGAGGGGCAGGGGCAGCTCATAAACTGACTCCTATTTGGAGCAGCACACATCTGAAATCATGAGCCATGGTTATTGTCCTCTGCCAGTCCGCACAAATAGGAATGCCCCATTCCCTTTCCACCCCTTAGCGTCCTCCTCCTCCTCTGTAGAATTAGCAGAAGCAAGACGAGAAACTTTATGGCACTGAATTGCATGTGACAAAATACCCCTCATTAACATGAAGATTGCACTTCATGTACCTTGTTAGGTTTTGACAATCTGAGAATGATGTTTCCTAATCTGGGGAGATTAGTCACCTATGGCAGACAATTATTTCCTGCCTGTTTCCATTGACATAAGCAGGGCTGAGGAGTCTCTTTCAGCCAGAGGACTGTGTTCTCTTTTGGAAAATCTTCTTGGGGAAGGGGGCACATGCAAGTGGGGTGGGGTCAGAGGCAAAAGTGGGCAGGGCAATGAATGCAAATGTGGCTTTTATTCGGTAATAATAATAATAATAATAATAATAATAATATAAAAAGCAGCAGCAGCAGCAACAACATCATTTTATTAATAACCAAGCAAAAGAACAGATTAGTTCCCAGCTGCACCCACAATTGTGTGGTCTGGGGAGGCATCATTGATGCCTCCTCAGCTGTTGCCATTGGCTGCGGACTGCCTGTGATGTCACAAAAGCACATGGCAACTGAGTGGATATAAACATGGTCCAAGGGGAAAGGCTTTCTCCCTTCCCTAACTGTTAAATAGTGGGTACATAACACTAACGGATCACAGCAGGTAACAGCTGTGGCATTCAGGACTCCTGGATTTCACATGGAATTAACAGACAGAATGAGGAGATCATCCAGCAGCAAGTTGCTATGGAGTGCTAGAAAGCAAGTTTGCTTGCTGAGTGGGATTGCAGCATGGAGGGGGCCGATACCCATGGTTGGAAGCTGTCTGGAGCCTGGCGATGGACTTAGTGGAAACTGGCAGATGTTGGTGGGTGGAAGCTGGTGGAGTTCACATTTGGAAGCTAGTGGGTGGCACAAGGCTGAAGCAGGTTGTTGCTTGCACATGTAAGAGTGCTGGCATTTACCTTCAGAAGCTGGCTGACATGAACTGTGCAGATATTTGCGTATTGAACTGAGAGTGGCTGACGAGCGAATGTGTCTGTTGGCGTACTTCCTGGAAGTCAGCCATTGTGTGTGTGTCTGTGTGTGTGACTGGGAGGTTTTGAATGTGGTCAAAACAAATGGTGTGCTCGGGTTCGTTCAGGGGGCGGTGGTGGTCACCCTGCAGACACAAGATAAATGGATGAGCCTATGGACGTTCATGGGTAGAAGCCGGTGGAAGCAGGCAGGCTGAGGCTAGGTATGAAGTTGCTAGTCAGAAGCCAATGAAGATGTCTGTTGGATAGTAGCCATCCCTCTCACTGTGCCTGTGTTTGCTTTCCAGGATGCCTGAAAATGGGAAGGCTTTTCTCGAGGCCACCTGTGGAAGTAATGAAGAGAACCACAGGGCTTAAGCCAGCCAGCTTCTATTTCTAAAGAAATGTCTTTCTAAATACACTGTTCATTACACCTTCCCCAACCTCCCACAAGAGGAATACTGGGAGGCTGTTCAGGTGCTTCTCCAGCTGTTGCCATTGGCTCTGGACTGCCTGTGATGTCACAACAGGACATGGTGGCTGAGGAGAAAGAGACATGGCAGCTGAGGGAGGGAGCAACCACAGGAGGAAGGGACTCATGGGAAGCTGGGTCACATGACCATTTGACACAGAAAGGAAATCTGGGTTGACTCCCTCCTGTCTACTTAGGTTGCCAAGACATTATACTCTTGGGGCTCCTGTATCCTGTCATTGGCTTCACCTACTGTTGGGTTCCTTGACTTCTGTTCCCATTGGGCATCAGCCACCACTGCTGGAAGGCCATGTCTGGCCTGAAGTAGCCCCTGCCTGATTTACAGTCATTTATGCGCCACTCTTCAGGTTACAAATCTTTCTGAGGCAGCTTACAAATAATGTCAGAAACATTTGAAAACTGCAGTAATTGATATTGACATGTGTATACCAATATCAGGATCCTTCCCACAGAGCAATTGGTGATAGGTGGCTCTGTGGGTGAAGAGGGTGGCGGTTAAGCTGGAGTAAACCCTGAGGTCTTCTTCAACCGCCTGCCTGCCTCCCTCCTTCCCTCTCTCCTGCAATCCTTACAAGTTTTTGAGTATTAGGAAACATTTGGTACAGCTCAGCTGTGAGAGAAAATAATTGTCAGCTCTCAAGTAACTAAGCAGGTGGCACATGAAGGGAACAGGTTGTGCACGTATTCTTGTGTGTATTAAGAGAGAGAGAGAGAGAGAGAGAGAGACTCTTTTCTAAAGGAAAGAAAACTGCACAGGTCCAAGAGTGAGATCTAGAAGAAAATTCTTGCTGTGCTATGACTATGCAGAAACCCCTATGGTAAGAACATGACATTAAAATTGCAGGTTCGTGCTAGCATAGGCTACTATAAGGCTATACCCAGGAGCTCTTTACAATGCATTTCCCTGTCACTTTCCTACCTGCAAAAAGTTTTTTTAAAAAAACAAAACAAAACTGGGTTTATTACACTAGGGTAACAGAGTGCTTTAATTGCACAAATGCCAGTTTCCCAATACATGCTTGAATCCCTGCAAAATATTGACTGGCGATGTCAGTAGTTTTTATTAATAGTTTTTATTAATAGAATCATGAATTGTAGAGTTGGAAGGGACCCTGAGGGTCATCTAGTCCAACCCCCTGCAATGCTAGAATACAGCTCAAGCAACATACTACGTCTGCTGAATACCTGATCCTAAACATGGTTGCTTATTGAAAGTAAGTTCCACTGATTCCACTGAGTTTAACTTTCAAGGAAGTGTATATATGGTTTCAGCCACTGTAATCCGCCATTTGTTTAGTTATATCTCCAGTTAATCCCAGTTCACCCCATTACTGTAACCCTGTTTAAAAATGACCGTCCCAAGTTCTAAATGCAATTTTCCAAGTGTTTGTGATGTGTGTGCGGGACAGGCAGACCTGCTGGCTTTAATCTGCCTGCCTCCCACAAATATGGGATCTGCTATTAAGTGCTTTGCTGAACTGTGATATTTCCAGCAAAGTGATGGATGCAGAACTGGGGGTGTAAATTTCAGGAAAAGGTCCCTGTTTACAGAGGTGTTTGGGCTGCGCAAGAATCTCTGGATTCCTAGTGACTCATTGAGACAAAATAGCCTTGAGTGTATTATTCTGCTGATGTTCTCCCTGGGGATTGCCCAATAAATGTTGGCTGATTCTTCATCTAGACATTCCTGCCATAATTGGTAAGTCCTGGGTCTGTTTATTCTTCCTCTGTATTCTACTATGAAACAAAGTCAGGATAGGCTGAGTGTGGCACCCTACTCTGATTAAGGGCAGCAACAAATTTCCTATTGATGTTAACAAAACCAATGAAACTCCAAGCTGCTTTTCTGTTAAAACAAATAAAGTAACCAGGGAGATAAATGCTTGGGAGGGTTCCACAGTGCTTTATGCAAACATTTGCCATTGTTTGACACTGCCATTTTTTCTTCCTACATCCCTCCTTTACTTGAACTTCTACTATCGCTTTGCCCCTCCTAGGGCTCATTCACACTTCTGCTTGTCCCATGTCTAGAAAGTGTTGGTTCAAAAAAGAAAAGGGGGGGGGGGGAGATTTCCTTGGATGCCAAGATCCAAATTTGGGGCAACTACTGTTTGGTTAGAGAACTCCAGCAGAGATTTAAAATCACAAAGCAAAGCATGGAAGCAGCAAAGTAAAGCATGGAAATATAGGCTGTAAAACCTTTAAGATATGCTCTTCCAAGTGAGTTCCAAATTTGTCCCCTTTAAAAGTTCCTTCCAAAGTTTCTCTCTTCTCCCAGCATAGGAACAGACCACACATTTGGTAAGTTAAACAGTAGTTTACTCACAAACTCTCTTACAAAGGTCAGGTTAATGTGCTTTTCCATACATCAGTCAGAAAAAGCTGCACAGGCAGTAAAACGTAGTTTAGTTACAAAGTGGTAATAGTTCCTAAACTATTGGTATATGCTGAAAGCCATGTGGCTGAACTGGAGGAACCACCTCAGACCTCTTTTCATGGTGAATTCACAGCTAGTGTGGGGGGCAGCAAAGGCTTGATTACCTATTTCCTCCCAAGGTAAGGGGAAGTGACATAGCTAAGCCTGGCAGGACAGCTTACTCTATGGTATTAACCCTCTCATGCAATAGACTTAAGCATGTTAGTTATACGAGGCTGGTTATCCTACAGAAAGCAGGTGTCTGAGCGGTTTTCGCTTGTCCCACACTTTCTAGGCATGGGTCTGAGTGGGTTTTGCATTTTCCCCACAGCTTTCCCCTAGAAAGCATGCTCTTTACTGCTGAATCAGAACAAATGGCAATCTATGGAAAACCCAATTGCCGTTTGTTCCAATTCAGCAGTAAAGAGCGTGTTTTCCCATGGGAAAGTGGAGGGCAAAAGGAGGTGTGGAAGGGCCCTTAGTTTTCCTCCCTCCTCACTCCCATGCCATGGCCACTGCTGTTGTGCAACCCACCTTCTCTTTTGCTCCCCTCCCCCACCCAAATGTCAGTCAAATCCAGGACCGTGATGAGGCACTACAAATCCTCCAAGGGGGCTGTGTGTTGACAGGGTGCTCCACAGATATATACAGTATAGACCAGTGGGATAACTCAGTATAAGGGAGCATATCTGAGACCTAGACACCTCTATTATTCATAGGATTAAGCTTATGGCTTTTCATTTTATCTACACAGCTTTACTCACTAATATAAAGCCCATTAATCACCTACATAATTTAGTAACTTTGTTCATCCTTATCTTGTGTAAAAGGTCCATTGTTTCCTAGCAATGTTTTCTAAAATGCAGCCTGTCTCTGACATGTCCTTCCTTACGATCCAAAATATGAGACTAATAAGTTTGCGCAGGACAGTTATCTTTACTGGATTAGCCACTTTGGTTACAATGCCTTAAGGTTGCTTGGTTTTCAGAGGATTGAAGCTCTGAACCTTTTGAGGTGTATTGAACACTCACTTAAGTAACTAATAATTATGTAATGGCTGCAATTGTCCTGAGGGTTTGTCAGTCCTCTCCCTTGCTTGGAAAGTACCGTACTCTCCAGCCACTGGATGGGATAAATTAATCTCAAATGGAAGTTCACATGAACTAGGGGAGCAGGGATATTACGGCTGCAATTTACATCCTACTTGTGTTAAACCACCTTATGCTTTTTGTAGGCTTCCTCTATACAGTGGTACCTTGGGTTACAGACGCTTCAGGTTAGACTCCGCTAACCCAGAAAGAGTACCTTGGGTTAAGAACTTTGCTTCAGGATGAGAACAGAAATCGGGCGGTGGCGGCAGCAGAGGCCCCATTAGCTAAAGTGGTACCTCAGGTTAAGAACAGTTTCAGGTTAAGAACGGGCCTCCAGAACGAATTAAGTTCTTAACCCATGGTACCACTGTACTGTATATGGGCTACTGCGGAAGGCCATTGCTTCCTACTCCCTAACCCATTTTATGAAGTAGAGCAGCAGCCAAATGGTGACCTCAAGGTGTTGGTTAGAAAACAAGTTAATGCTTATTTTTGCTCTTTCAGTAGATAAAGATCTAACAGGGTTTATTATTTTCAATCCTATGACCTCTTCAAATGAACTTTACTACTTTTTTAAAAAAAACCACACGCTTGATTGATCTTTCCTTTATTTTACTATGTCTGTGGTTGTTTCCAGCTGAGGTGTATATTGGGCAATCGTCCTAAGTTGTTTTCACAAAATCTGCACTGAGGTTATATGACATTGCCACCAAGTAATTGTTATCCTGCACTTTCCACTGTAGTTTTCCATCGCTTTTTTGCTGCAGAAAGTCTGTTTTGTTTTTGGTTTTGTAAGAGCATTTGGGTACTACTTAGCCCCTGTTATTTATCACAATGCATTCTCAGTGATGGGTTATGGAGAAGGGCTTAAAGGGCATACACGGGCATCTACTGAAATGTACAAAAGATTTTTGAAAACGTGTGACAGTCTGGAAGTGCCCTGAATTTTCAGTCACCAAACTTTTCAGGAGAGAAATTAACTATCTGCAGCAACAACACAAACAACAAATATTAAAGTTAGCCCAAGCTTTGATGTCTTCTAGAATCTGGATAAACATGGGCTTTCCAGAGCTCTATTCTAAAGGAGCAAAATATTATTTGTTGAACTTTGGCTGACCTCTTCCATACTGTGTGTTTTTTTTGTTTTTTTTTAAGCAGTTAAGTGGTCTGCAGAGCAGCTCTAGAACAAGTGAAAGTTACTCTTTACCCTCTCTCACCCTTTTTATCTATGGTGATGCAAAGGTTAGCAATTTCAAAGCAGCTGCAATAAGTAGCTTAAGCCACAGTCTGTTGACAGGGAATAACCATGATTACCTAGTAAAGCTGGCTTTGTGAAGAGGAGGAGGAGAAGCAGCTGCCTGTGTCGCTTTGCCTAATGCCATGACAACCAGTGATGGCCAGTTACCTACTAGTTCTGCTGTCCAACCCAGAAATCTCCCTAAATCCCTTTTGCTACTGCTGCTAATGGTTCCTGTGGCACTTATTGCAACCACTTACCTGTTGCTCTCATAAAAACAGTTAGCGCATATTGATGATCAATGGCATTACTGAACAGGTTGTGCAGCACGATTGATGAAGATGCCTTGCCAATTCTTTACATGATATACGGGCACTGCACTATGCCTGTGCACATTTATGGTTTACCACGAAACGGAGCTTAGTTTATGTTAAGGCACAGATGATCCACAGCATTACACTGGTAATTTATACATTGGGTGAAGCAGGAGCTTTAAAGAGCATCCTTTCACATTGTTCTGCCTTTGGAATAAAGTTATTTTGTGAATGGAAATCACGAGGATACTGCAGGTTCAGTCATAGGGCGATATGGATGTGCATTGAGACAGTCTATCTGCTGGGAGAATGGACAAAACAATGAAGTCATGTGCATGCCTTTGGGGGGGCTGTTTGTTTGTTTTGTGCAACTGCACAGTTAAAGCAAGAGCATGCAATCAATCATGTTGTTTCAGAGTAGTTGGAATGTGCAGCGGTGCATTTATCTGAGTGGTATTTGCAAATGCCAATCTACGAAGGTGTCAGGCAAGCAAATAGCACACATTTATCCTGCATAAACCTGAGTTATAACGAAATGCCAAGAACTTCTCAGGATGGCGTATATGGTTTGTATATTTTACAAACAGGTCCATGTGCTTTAGACATGACTGGTATCAATCACTTTACTCTCTTTTTAATTGCAGCCCATTCTGGGGATTAGCAAGTGAGACCTCTTGTGCTCTGGGATATTATCATTCAGCAACACAGAGGACAGGGGAGATCGTGAATAATAATAATCTCTTAAGCGTCTTCCATTGAGGAACAACATGTGCTTTATAAACATGAATGAGTTAAGCTGCTTGAATCCCCGTGACGAAGGAGAAACACAACATGAGCCTTCTCCACCTGCTGGGGCTGTGTGTAAGAACATGTGTGTGTGCCAGCTGCCTTGCCCAGCCCTTGTTGACATGACACCATTTTTCACATGGCCTTCACTGCTGTGCATTGTGGGCTTCCAATCTCACCTTGCCCACAGGGTAATGAAGGGGCTGGGTTTGTAATCGTAAGTATATTATGAATGGCCCAGATTAAGAGGGTGCCTGCTGATAGAACAGGGAAAAGAAATCTCCATCGTGCTACTAAATCTTTCTCCACAATTTTGCTGAATGGGCTTAATTAAAAAACATGGCTGCATGTGCTATTTCTCTGCTGAAAGCGCCAGGCCCTGATTAAAAACTTTGCCCTACATGGATGTTGCTCTTTCGTTCCTGGCCCTGCTGCAAAACTCTTCTATATCTAAGGTAGTTTTAAGAATGTTTCACATCTGGCCCAGATCCAGCTGCAAGAAACCTATTAGATCCCAGGCTTCCCATTGTTTGTCAAAGATGGTTCTGGGTGAATGCAGGTTTACAACTCTCAAGACGTTATTATCTAGGATGAGTTGTGAAGATAAGCCAAACTAGATTTCACAATGAGCCCACAATGAGTTCATTAGCTGCACCCACATACCATTTTCTTTTACTGCAAGGGAGTAGGAATCCTGGGATGTTTTCTAGCAGAAGGTAGCTGATATAAATCTATGCATATCTTTCTTGCTACACAGACAAGTGGTTTTCCACCCATTGCCTCTTTCTCCTCTGTACTGT